AACACTGGATGTGTTATTTTACATTTGATTACTTTAATTTCTGTAGTATTTCTTACCTGAATAAAAACTTACTTATCCTGAAAAACTTAGTTTCTTAGCTCTCTTTATTTTATTGCATTTATTTGTGCTGTTGTTTGAAATTTTTTTATGTGTTCTTATTTTATTACTGACTTTTTACTTGTGAAATTGCAGTCGGTGCATCTCTGTTTGGAATCTTCATTTTCAAAGACCTACATCGTTCAGTCCCAGAGATGTGGGGATCTCAATGAGGCTCCATTTTCAGATTGTTGAATATTACCTATTTTAGTGGTTGAAAACCAAATGTTGGGTCACTTTGTATTAGGGCTGCACGATAAATCGCATGCGATATTTAATGCGCCACATCGCAGGCTTTGCGATTAGGAAATCGCAACGTCTCAAATCGCGATTTCGATTCGATTTCGATTAATCGCACGGCCCTAGAATGCATCCTGTTTCCCTGAACTGTTCACCTCTGTTGATTATATGCTGCTTGAATTCCCCTTAAAAGAAAATGAGTGGATTTGATCAAACTCACCAGGAGAAAAAAGAGCTGCAACACAGCATAAGCTCCTGGTCATGAGATCTGCGGTTACTACAGCAACTAGCCTAGACTGAAATGAACTTTTTCTGTATTATTAAAATTGGACCTAATTCAATGTAGAATAAATTAGATTTGAAGTAATCTTGAGTTTTTAGGTTTGGACTAATTTGACAAAAATATCTTCTTCTGTCCTTTTGGAGTCTGCATGAAGAAAAATGTATAATTGTTTTACTATAGTACCAAAGGCACCACTGACTTACTACAACAGCCGTAACCGCTTGCTCATAACCAGTTTCTCTTTAATTTGTTGTTCAATTGCCATTTTAACCCGTGTAGTATGCCTTTATGCTCATGATCTTTTACTCTCTTTGGCAGGATGACTGGAGTGGCATTAATTCAAACAGAATTCAATCACACAGCAATGCAGATGACAAAGCCCACAGCCTAGAGACCCTTCCTCCAGGTAAGAGCCAACCTGACAACCCATGTGCATAATTGGCTCATGTTAGGATTAGCCCGCTCTCTTAATTCAAGTTTTCTTTTTCCATCCCAGATGAATAATCTTCTCCCGTAGTTTTTCTTCTCCCGTAAACAGAACTTAACCTGAGGTTTACTACAGAACTTAACCTGAGGTTTACTGCAGAAGTAGGTGTAGAAAATTTCACTTGAGGGCACCTAAAAATGCATGAGAGTGATTTGAGAGTGACTTTATTACTGGCCTGAAGACAAGAACTCAGTGTCTTCACACTTTATTCCCTTTTGGTAATGTACTCCTTTGTGATCCAACCAAAACTGGGCTGCTTAATACATTAAGCCTTAGATATTAACATGTGCTTTTTATAGACTGGCTGCATTTAAAAGCAGTATTGTAGTAAGGTTGCAAATGCATTATTTATTTAGCTCATTAGTTTCTCTGTCATGCAATCGCTCTGGAACTGGGGTCCATGGAGAGCTGTTCTATTAAATTTGTCATAAACATCAGATTACATTCATGTGTCGTCGCATGCATTACAATGTTTGCTGTCTGTTGTTGTTCTCCCAGGCACTGTTTCGGGGAATCATCAGTAGTTTCTCGTCTCCCTGTGTTACTCTTGTAATTTAGGTCTCCCAAAAGATTTCCACGAAGCAGAACACTCACCCAGGAGTACCTGATTTCATCTGTAATAATTAAGAGAACAGATTTAAAGTGATAGTGTGCCTAAAATTGCCATCTGCTCACCTCACGTTGTTCCTGTTTGATTTTTTTTCTTCCCCTTTTCCTTTCGAAGAACATGGAAATAAAAACTTGGTAACAAATAACCATACAATTAGCATTTTCATTCTCGGGTCATTTCCAAGCAATAACCTGTAGTTGAGAGAGCGAGTGAGTCATCTGAGCTGAATCACTTAGGAAGTGAGTTGAATGATTGGTTCAGTTTATGATTCAGAGGCACTGTTTAAAAAAAAACTCCGTTTGAGTCACAGCACACACACACACACATATATACATACATAATATATATGTAATTCAGTGAAAAATTTGTTGTCAATTTTAAGTGAAGTTGAAAGAACCTTCAAATATTTACAGTAGATATGATACAGATATGATAGAAAAAAGTATGTGTGGCACTAAATTAAAATTATAAACGTTAAGGGGACATTACTGCAACTTGCATTGAAATCATGGCCAAAATAATACAATTTTTATTCCATCCAAAGTTCTTTTGGATTCTGTGAATGAGTCACTAGCACTACATTAGTGTTTCCCAAATGTTTTTCTTCAATCATGATCTAACATATTTATTTTAGAATAATTGTTTGGTGCACCAATTAAATCAAGAAGATCTGGAATAAAAAAGACTTCTGAAATTTTTAGTAATATTAAATGTATATTAAATTTTGCAACCAAGCATGAAGTATGTGCTCACTGTGGGTAGGATTGAGGAATAGATTACGTTACCATGTAGTGTTTCGGCCTGGAAAGTGGTGTTCACACTCTTCCTCCCGCTCCCCGGCTATGTGTGCATGCTGTGTGTCGGAGAGCACTTTGTCTAGAATCTTGCAGTGTCAAGTGAAGTGTGGAGGTCGCAGTTGAGACTGTTCTCCTTTGAGCAGCTAATTAGTCTGATGACAGCCCTACAGTCCTCTGCCGTGGGACGAGCTATCGACCTCGCACAAGGAGAGTTTGTGTTTTTTCTGGGTGTTCTCACTGAGCTTTCAGCGGTGTTGTACATTGCATTGGAGATGCCAGACTTTGATTCTTTACTCTAACTTTCTGTGGGCATCTTTTTTACCTAAATTACAGGCCGGAGCTATAGAGATAACCTTTTTATAATCGTTCTGTCCCAGCCATCGCAGAAGGTTGACTTTTAAATTGTGTGACAGGGCTGTTATAAATGTGGCTGTCACCCTTTGGTGGATCGGTGCATTTGGTGCATTGCAGTTCAGGATAATTAACCTCAGCTTTCATTAACTTGTGTGTCCTAGATTACATCACTGTTGTGCACAGAGCGTAACGTTGATCTATTGACGCCTATGCATTTTGATTTACCTGACTCTTGCTTTTTACAAATAAATCACCCGATTCTAGTGTGCAGCGTAATAGTAAAGTGCCAGTATTTTTTGCTGATGAAAGTTGAACTTTTGAATTCTCCCAGATGGCTTGAACAGAGACTCTTCATCTGCTTGAATGAATCTTTTATGCATGTTCAACACGATTAGTTGGCAGGATTGAGCGCGGGTCCCCTTTAGTACCTTTCAGGGACATTTATGGGTTTCATAATGTTGACAAATGATCACCAGCGGTTATTGCACTTCAGAGTATTTGATTTCACCATGAGGATTCTGGTTTGGAACCATTGGGAAGGATAGACTAGTTAAAAAGACAAGGGTATATGCTCCACTGTAACTGTTTTTTTTTTTTGTATTTGTGGTGGTGGTGGTGTTGTTATATTAAAATGAATATTTATGTTTGGTTTGTTTTGTTTAAGCTTTCTAAAAGCTTACATGAAACTGCTAGATGTTTATAGAAATGAACATTATAGAAACATGGTGTAGTGTATAATGAAGTGGTTCCGACTTTGGAATGTGTCGTGGCCTAATGGTTAGAGAGTCAGACTCGTAACCCAAAGGTTGCGGGTTCGAGTCTCGTACCGGCAGGGATTGTAGGTGGGGGGAGTGAATGTACAGCGCTCTCTTCCACCTTCAATACCACGACTGAGGTGCCCTTGAGCAAGGCACCAAACCCCCAACTGCTCCCCGGGCGGTGTGTGTTCATGGTGTGCATGTTCACTGCTATGTGTGTGCACTTTGGATGGGTTAAATGCAGAGCACTAATTCCTAGTATGGGTCACCATACTTGGCCACGTCACTTCACTTTTCACTTTTTTTAAGACTTATGGACCATATCTAAGAGTTTGGCTTTCCCTTTCGGTTCTGCTCCTAATTTGAAATGTTGTCCCTTGTTCATTAACAATTCTCGTGGCCATGGTCTTGGCCTTTGAATCGATGGCATCAGTGGCATGTAATTCTCACTCAGGTCGGCCTATTTATAATACAGAAGACGTTTGCCAGAGCCCTGCTAAATTAATTGCTTATAGTCTTTTGTAATGATAGATAACATAATCGAATTCTGCCTCATGTTTCTGAGGTCTAAGTATCATCGTAGCCATCTCTGCCATTTAACTCAATGACAACGGCGATTGCTGCCCTGTTACCGTGGGATGTGACTAACATCAAAATGGAAAAATAACACTTTTTGTTGAGGAAAAGCTAAGCTTGTGGTTGGGAAATCATTTAAGGCAGACTGTTGTGGAATGGCTCCATTTGGCAAATATCCTCATATATTATCATTTGGCAAATGTCTTCTTTGACAGATTCACCTGGGTTGTAATCAACTAAAGATGTCTAGCCAGCTCCTTTCACGTTCTTTTGGGTGACTGTGATTTATAATGTAATAATGGGCAGCAGTGCATTCAGAGTTTTTGTCTTGGCTAAAAAAAGATGTTTCTAAGAAACATGAGTATTTCATTCAATACAAATAAAAAAAGATAAAGTACACCTTTGTTCTTTATATTATAGTGTGGACATTTGTCTTTGGTAAATGACAAGCCTGATGTCTGGAGTGATATAGGTGTCTATGGACATGTACTTACTGACAAATTGATAGTTTCAGAGTTGTTCGAATGGAAAGTAGCCTACTCAGTCAGTATGTTAAAGCAATCAATCCACAGTATTTGATTTATTTGTACACTGGGTAAAAGTCAGCCTTTTGGTAATGGAAATGACAAGAAAAACAAAATGTATTTGGTCTTTTTTTGTTGCAAAGATCTAGATGTTCTTTTTTTGTCTGACATCCAGTGTTTAATCATTTTTGTCACTTTTTCAGGGAAGGTTAGGTGGCAGGACTTTGACCAGGACCTGTACGTGGGAGCTACAGTGGTGAGGCCAGGGCAGGATCCCTACGCCCGCAACAAGTTCAACCAGGTTGAGAGTGACAAACTCAGAATGGACCGCAGTATCCCTGACACCAGACATGACCAGTAAGTTCCGGTCGAGTTTTTAGCTCAACTCATTCAGTTAACACTCAAGAAACAGAGCTTTGCTTCTTGTTCAGGTCACTTCATTGAAATGAGCTAATGCTCAACTCAGTTACTGAATTTATTTCACAACATATTTTCCAGGGCTCCAGACTGCGACTAAAACAGTCGCATTTGTGACCAAAAATATTAATTTGCGAGTGAAGTTTTTGCTGAGGTCGCCACTGGTGACTAGGCCTATATGTATTTACATGTTATAACTTCAAAATTTGCATGTAATGCATTTTTTCCTGATTGTTTTGCGATCACATCTTTTGTTATGTTTACGTATTAAATTGAGACGATGCACATCAAAGTTTTAGTGGAAAAAAGAGTTTCAAACAGTCCTCATCTCTGCAGCACAGCAGCGTTGACGCACAACTGATAAACGCAGCTCAGTTGTGCAGCGCGAGAGAGATCGAAATGACGGAGATGTGCGAAGTGAAAGTGCACAAAAGCAGAGTCTATTTCGTGCACAACTTGAACAAACTACAACAGGTAAAGCTGTCAGCTGTGTGGATATTGGCAATATCGTTAACAATTCTCGTTTATAATCCTTAATATTATGGCTTCTTCTTATCAAGATCTTAGTCTATATGCTGTGTTCTGTTAATGCGTGAACTTCATATTATTTGAAGCGCACTTGCCGTCCAGTAATGCAAAAAGCTTTGTGCTTCGATACTTTTTAATAAACAAAGTACCAGATTTAAAATTATTCCAAATTCATAACGAAAGTCAAACAATAAATACAGTTTTGGCGCTCTTTAATGCGGCAGGCGCGATCACTTTAGCACCTCAGTTCAAGCGGCAAGTGAACCCATTATATCTTTCTCTTTACTACTATAGTACATAATGAACATGAATTAACATAAAAAGGTAGGCTATTTTATAAGAGAGCCTACAGTACAACTTACTGAAATGTCTCATGTAAAAGCTCATTCAGTGTTTCAAACTGCGGAAAACGTGTAAAGCTTGTAAAACTACATAGAAAGTGTAAAACGTAATATACATTTACCTCAGAATAACCATTCGGTGTCCATAAGCTCATCAGTCAGCTAGAAAAATAACTATAAAGAGGAGTGTTTTACTATATTTATGCGCTATTGCATATGAATATTTTTACTTAACCTGTTGTCTACATGATTCAACTCCTCCTATAAAATTACTAATTAAGAAAAACAGACTTAAAGTGTGAAAGACATAACTCTTAAAAATAAAAGGTGCTTAAAAGATTCTTCACGGAACCATTTTTGGTTCCTTAAAGAATCATTCAGTCAAAGGTTCTTTAAAAACAATCTCTTTCTCAACTTTTTATAATCTGAAGAACCTTCTTTCGCCACAAAGAACCTTTTGTGAAACCTTTTCAGATGTTAAAGGTTCTTTATGAAACCGTTTAGACAAAAAAGGTTCTTCTATGGCATCGTGAAGCACCTTTATTTTTAAGAGTGTATGACAACATTTACAGGATGCATTGAGGAGGAGTCCAAACTCAGTGGCCAAGTGATGCTTATGGGCCACGATATTGGTACAGATTCTGTGTAATGAACAATTCTTTGTGACTGTATATTTCAAGTTGAAAAAGACATTTAGTTCCCACTTTAAGTGAACCTTAGTTTCCAGGTCATCTACAAGATGGATTAAAATGCTGATAAAGTCAAGAAAAGATAAGACATAAACACATGACAGTATGATTGAAATGTTAAAATGTAAAAAAAAAATAATAATAAAATAAATAAAACACATTTATTCTGTGGCACCTAAAAAAAGTTTTTTTCTTGTAGGAGCCAATAGCTCCTTACTCGATTTTTTTGTCTGGAGCCCTGTTTTCATTGCATGCAATCCGATGAATTAGTGTAATAGAAGTTTACTTACTTTGTTTGCATTGGAACAACATCGAATCATCTTTATTTGTTTGGGATTTTCAGGTCCTAGGATGCTTTGCATAGGTAAATGTTGAAATGAAGTTAGGAATAATTGACGACGGGCCGTTGAATTATTCGAAAATAATGCACACCCAAAGTGGTGATGCGGCCACGATGCAAAGCGGATTTAATGTGTTTTTGAACAACATGAGAGACTTTGGGGAGAATACAAGTAAAGATTGTTGGGTATGCTGCTACACAGAACAATGTTCACATATTGTATTTCAAACCAGTTCAATACACTATCCTCTTTTTTTTTTTTTTTTTAAATAAGTGTCTTGTGCCTAACAAAACTGAGTTTATTTGATCAGAATACATTTCCAAATATTATTTCAATATATTTTTCAAACTTAACTTGTTCCTATGTTGGCAAAGCTGCATTTTCAGCATCATTACTCCAGTCTTCAGTGTCACATGATCCTTCAGAAATCATTCTGACATGCTGATTTGGTGCTCATGATGCATTTATTATTACCAGTGCTGGAAATAGTTATGCTGCTTAATATTTTTAGTGAAAACAATGATACATTTTTTAGGATTTAATGTATAGAAAATTCTAAATATCATACTTTTATTTTGTAACATCATAAATGTTTACTGCAATTTTTTTTAATCAGTTTAATGCATCCTTCTTTAATAAAAGTATTAATATATTTTTAAAAAGATCTTTCTTACTGCAATGTTAGCATATGTCCAAATAAAATATTACTTTTTGCAGGCTTGCTTGTTCTTTAGACAATAGTAGTTAGCTGTCAGAGATTCCATTGAATTAACTTGATGTCTAATTTTATAGGATTTACTCAATTCTCTTATATTTAAGGAGAGCTACAGTTTAGTTTAAGAAGCCCATTTCCAAAGTGTGGTGACACTTTTCATAGGTGAATTAAGTTTATTAAAAGTATTATTTAAAGTGAAGTTACTCACATATCTGAACATTAGACTCATGCTGCTCAGCACAAAATCTAATTAAACCCGTTTCCTTTGGTTCTGTTGAGTATTAAAGCACCCTTTCCACTAATAATGGACTGTTCATGTTACACTGAGCATTTGCCTTACTATGTAAGGTTTTTCCATTGCCTAATTTATTATGTAGTGTGCCTTACTTTACAGCACATAGTGAATGTGAAGAAGTGTCAGTGCTTCTTTGTGATAAAGTCAGTCAAAATGAATGTGCTAAATTAATTTTGGATTATCATAAAGAGGCCTGTCATTTGATGAGAGATGCTTACACAGCACAATGATAGGAAAATGCATGAAAAGCACTTCCCCAGCAAATCAGTGAGGCTTTCAAAACTTCATATTCATCCATCTGTCGGTCACAGTGTCCTTGAGGTGGCAAAGTAGCAGATTGTCTTCAGGGCTTAAATGGCTGTCAGAGATGTCAAGGCAGGATTGACAATATGAGTAGAGCGCTGAATGTATAAGTGGAAAATAAAGGAGTAGTTTAAATGGAGAATGAGCTTGTCCTCTTAGATGCAGTAAATGGTCTTGGGTGTTATGAATCTCATCAGCTGTAACAGTCACACTTGTGTTTAAGCTGAAAGGTCTCGCATGGTAAAATCATTTACTACTGAGTCATCTGAAGGAACGTCATATTTGCTGACGACACGAATGGGAATATCTGGGCACTCATTTTTTCCCATTCACCGCTCCCTGTGTCAAATAATGTTGCATATGTTTAGCAAAACCATTCAGTTCTGACAGGTTTACTTTGCATCTTTGCATTTTAGGATTCATTTGTAAGAATTGTTTAAAAGCTGTAAAATGCCCGGTAAGATGTCCACATGAAGTTTTCCATCACCAGTTTAATGTACTGTACTCTCTTTTTTTTCCCTCTCTCTCTCTCTCGATGAAAGGACAGTAGAAGAAGTTCTGAATTCAGCAAAACAGTTTTGCTAACTTGGGCTACTTTTTGATGTTAGAAAAATGCTTGACCACCCACATTTGCACCTTAACAATGCCTCTTCAGTGTTCACCAACTTACCCGGTCTGAATTTTATTTATAACAAGTTTCATAATCATTTAAGTCCAGTCTTTTTACATGTCAAGAAGGCATTGCACACAAGTTTTAAAGGTAAACGGCCAATCAAACGTTTGGGGTCGTATAAGGATTTTAAATAAAAGTTTTTTGCTCACCAAGGATGCAGTTATTTGAGACAAAACAATACAGTACAACAGTAATTTTGTGAAATATTATTACAATTTAAAGTAACTGCTTTCTGTTTTAAAATGTAATTAATTCCTTTATTACTGTGCAAAGCTGAATTTTCAGCAGTCATTACTCCAGTGTCACATGATCCTTCAGAACTCATTCTGATTTGCTGATCAAGAAACATTTCTTATTATTGTCAATGTTGAAAAGTTTTGGCAAAAATGTTAAGCAGCACAACTGTGATGCTTTGTTTTTCAGGATTCTTTGGTGAATAGAACGTTCAAAAGAACCACATTTATATGAAGTAGAAATGGTAACACTTTCTATGAAGCCCGTATTTATAATACATTATAAGGGTATTCTTAAGGCATTAGAATGAATGCATAATGCATTATAAAAAACCTTATAATATGTTGTATCATCTCATGAATATTCATAAGAACAGTTTTAATATATTAAAATATTTACTTATTTGTGGTTATAGCTTTTAAGAGTATGATGATTTATAACACAATGAACACGTTGCATCCACTTTTACAATGGATTATATTTCTCATATCTTGCCATAATAATAATAAAAAAAAAATTCTCTCAAACAGCCATAAGATCAGATATCAGATCAGATGAATGTGTAATATGACACATTTGCTTTGAACTATTTTTATTGTAATATCAGTTTGATTATTTTGATGGTACCCTTTAAACAGCTGTTGATAAGTGACTCTGCAACTACATATCAACTAGCGGTCATTAGAGTATTAGTATGTCTGCTACTGTAAATATTTGCTAACACTTTATTTTGATGGTCAACCAACAGATAAACTGACTATAAGTGTCTTTGCAAGTACGTCAACTTATTCTACCATACTAGATTCTACCATTCTTGAGCA